TTCTTCTTCTTCTTCTTCTTCTTCTTCTTCTTCTTCTTCTTCTTCTTCTTCTTCTTCTTCTTCTTCTTCTTCTTCTTCTTCTTCTTCTTCTTCTTCTTCTTCTTCTTCTTCTTCTTCTTCTTCTTCTTCTTATTATTATTATTATTATTATTATTATTATTATTATTATTATTATTATTATTATTATTATTATTATTGTCTAGTTCAGGGGTCTCCAAACCTGGCCACTTTAAGACTTGTGGACTTCACCTCCCAGAATTCCTCAGTCAGCCCTCCTTGCTGGGGAAATTCTGGGAGTTGATGTCCGCAAGTCTTAACAGTGGTCAAGTTTGAAGAGCCCTGATTTAGTTTAAGGAAAAGAAGGACTGGGGTGACCTGATTGCAGGGTTCCAATATCTGAGGGGCTGCCACAAAGAAGGATTGGGGGTCAACCTATTCTCCAAAGCACCAGAAGGCAGGAAAAGAAGTACCAGATGGAGGATCATTCAAGAGAGAAGCAACCTAGAACCACGGAGGAATTCCCTGACAGTGAGAACAATGAATCAGGGGAACAGCTTGCCACCAGAAGTTGTGGCTGCTCCATCCACAAGGAGAGACTGGACAGCCATTTGTCAAGAATGAAATAAGGTCTCTTGCTTGAGCAGAGGGTTGGGCTAGAAGACCTCCAAGGGCCCTTCCAACTCTTGTTATTCTGTGTTCTGACACACGTTAAGTCTACCCAGGAGAGCTTCTACACAGATGGCTTTTTTAGAGTGTACATCTGTTTCGTCTTTTCCTCACTGAGCAGGAATTTATGTGATAAGAGAAAATGGCAGAAGGGTAAACTGCAAGAAGGTGACAAAGAGAAAACCACACTGAAAGAGCCACTTAAATTGTAAGGAGTGGGTTAGTCCAGCTGCGATGGACCACAATCGGGGGTTTTGCTCAGAGGCCCGGCTTCACATTACTCTGATTCACATTTTCCAAATGAATATAAAAAGAGCAGCTCCACCTTATGGACATTATTAAGCATTCTTTTTTTAGCAGAACAATTGCTCCCTGCTAAAACTAAAAATCAACAAAGCCAGAAATTAAACTTTTTTTCCCAACTGATGGAACATAAGACACTTCCCTTAATTTTCTACGCAATAAGGAGAGTTTAACCCAGTAGATAATGGGTTACTTTGAAAACCCAACGGCTTTCAGAATAACAAACTTGGAAGGGACCTTGGAGGTCTTCTAGTTCCACCCCCTGCTGAAGCAGGAGACCCTACGCCATTTCAGACAAATGGCTGTCCAGTCTCTTCTCGGAAACTTCCAATGATGGAGCATCCACAACTTCTAGAGGCAAGTCGTTCCACTGTCAGGAAGTTTCTCCTTAGTTCTAGGTTGCTTCTCTCCTTGATGAGTTTCCATCCGTTGCTTCTCGTCCTGCCTTCAGGCACCTTGGAGAATAGCTTGACTCCCTCTTCTTTGGGGCAGCCCCTGAGATACTGGAAGACTGCTATCCTGTCCCCCCTCATCCTTCTCTTCGTTAAACTAGACATCCCCAATTCCAGCAACCGTTCCTTATATGTTTTTTAGCCTCTGGTCCTGTAATCCTCTTTGTTGCTCTTCTCTGCACTCTTTCTAGAGTCTCCGCATCTTTTTTACATCGTGATGACCAAAGGAATCTTTTACTCCCCCATTCATTTTTCCAGCAAAAAGATAATCCGAAAGTTTAATCTGCGTGTTTTTGATTAAAAAAACCCACAACCACCTGCCTTGTCTCTTGTGAACCGTCACAGAAAAATGGTTTTAAGCATTAGATGTGGTTGACGTGCGTGGAAGGCAAAAATAGGATTGCCTCTCTTCATCTTGGCTTACTCAGTTCTTTATCACGATCTACAGTTTTCCTGAGTTGTTATAGTTGATGGTGTCTCTCCAGTGGTGGGATTCAAATAGGTGAACAACCGGTTCTCTGGGTGGATGCCGCTTCTGGAAGTCCATTCTGGGCCTGGGCAACAAAAAATTAGCTACCGAAGTGGTGTGAACCAGCTGAATCCCACCACTGTGTCTATTGTTGATAGCTAGGATTTTGAACCCAATTTGAGAGAGAGGGAGGGAGAGAGGGAGGGAGGGAGGGAGAAGGGNGGCTTAGTGCTTCCGAAGCAGGTGTGGCCGAGCTGCGTTTCCATGACGACACGCCGGGAGAGTTTGTCCTCGTGAGTAGCAAAGATGTAAACTCGCAATAATTTCCCTCGGACTTGGTCTTCAGACTTCGAACACTTGAGGAACCCTTCTCTTCATGAAAAATCAGTGTGGAACTCATTAATGCAGGGGTCTTCAAACTTGGCCCTTTTAGGACTTGTGGACTTCAACTCCCAGAATTCCTCAGCTAGCGTGCCTGGCTGAGGAATTCTGGGAGTTGAAGTCCACAAGTCCTAAAAGGGCCAAGTTTGAAGACCCGTCTTAAATCTAACAAACAAAATGGAGGCTGGCTGAGGAATTCTGGGAGTTGAAGTCCACCAGTCATAAAAGGGCCAAGGTGGAAGACCCCTGTCTTAAATCTAACCAACAAAATGGAGGCTGGCTGAGGAATTCTGGGAGTTGAAGTCCACAAGTCATAAAAGGGCCAAGTTGGAAGATCCCTGCATTAATAAATACGTATCAATTATACCTTTGTTTGAACCACCTGTTGAGGTTGCCCTAGCATGTTCCAGGGAACTGAGTTTAAATTGTTGTCGTTCAATCACTCTGGCATGTCCAAATTGTTGTGATCCATGGACCACAGCATGCCAGGCACCCCCCCTGTCCTCTGCTGTCTCACAGACTTTGTCCAAATTCATGTCCATTGCGTTGAGGGCGCCATCTAACCATCTCCTCCTCTGCTCTCCCTTTCTCCTTTGGCCTTCCATCTTTCTCAACATCAGCGTCTTCTCCAATGAGTCCTCATTAGGTGGCCAAAGGATTGAGGACCTGTCCTTCCAAAGGACAGTCAGGGTTGATTTCCTTCAGGATTGACCGACTGGATCTCCTTGCTGTCCAGGGGAAACTCTTTAAGAATCTTCTCCAACACCACAGTTCGAAAGGATCCATTCTTGGGTGCTTAACCTTCGTTATGGTCCTGTTCTCATAGCCATATTATAAGGTCCTGCCTCAGCTGTCTACTCAGGAAAGCACGGTCCTTGAAAGAAGCGTTCTTTCAAAAGAACTTTTACTGAGAGAAAGTGATGGCTAGGAAGTCAGCCGGAATCTGAAATTCCCACTCAAACCGTTAACGCTAAATCCCCCAATATGCAAACTCCTCCCCAATGCCCCAGTCCATCAGGAGCCAATCCGCTGGCGTGAAGATGTTATGAGAACTCCCTCCCTCTCCCTCTCTCTCTCCCTCCCTCTCTTTCTCCCTTTCCTTCCCTCTCCCTCCCTCTCTCCCTCTCCCTCCCTCTCTTTCTCTCCCTCTCCCTCCCTTTCTCTCTCCCTCTCCTTCCTTGTCCCTCTCCCTCCTTCTCCTTCCCTCTCTCTCCCTCCCCCCTCCCTCTCTCCTTCCCCNCTCTCTCTCTCTCTCTCTCTCTCTCTCTCCTCTCTCTCTCTCTCTCTCTCTCTCCTCTCTCTCTCTCTCCTTGGTACCTTTTCCAGTACCTTTCCCTCTGGATGGGAAATGAACATAAAACTACAGCTGACTCATGTTGGCGTCTGCGCTGAGTCTGACTCTCAAAATGATCCCAACTCTACAATCTATAACGATCCGACCGCTTTTGTCTTTATCATCCTGATGCTTCCCTTACATTTCATATTTCAGTCCGCCCTATCGCAAGTGTTCAGAATCCCTTTTCTCACGTTTGTCGGTGGTAAAATTTGTACAGTCATAATGCGTTTCCTGAGGCATTTTTTTTTTTATTAAAAAGTTCTCCGCTAATTTCCTTTGGGTGACCTGTGGTGGCGTGGCTAATTTGCCTCCTGCGCTAAAAACGGCTCGGTTGATTTGAATGTTTCCTTCAAGTTCACTGCATCCTCATTCCTGTTGAATACCTTCTAGTCGACAATTTTTGCTGCCTGTTTATTTCCGCTACGCTATTTCTGTTTTCTAGCACAGCAGCTACACTTAATTCTTATTTTTTTTTCCCTGTTGCTTTTTCAGCGAGAACTCTTTCTGAAGCTCAGCATAACGCCCCATTTTAAGTATTCAATATTTAAGAGAATCGTCAGTATCGAGAACACAAAATGGTTATTATAAATCAGTGTTTCTCAACCTTGACAATTTTAAGGCATGTGGACTTCAACTCCCAGAGTTCCACAGCCAGCATTGCTGGCTGTGGAATTCTGGGAGTTGAAGTCCACATGCCTTAAAATTGTCAAGGTTGAGAAACACTGTTATAAATGATAAGAGACTTTTGATTATTTCTACTTTCATTTGTGTAAAGAGATATGTAGTATAACAGAAATGGAAGAGGATCGATTGCGTGTCTTTGTGGTGATCAAGCAGGCCTGATTGTGTAATTCTAGGGGGAAAAAACAATTGAAGGTTTGATAATGTCAGATTAAGACCCTCATCTGATATTTTTTTACCGATTTCTGCTTGGAAACATCAGGCAGTATTTAAAATTATTCAGGTATGTGAATATTTACAAAGAGTGCAGAGAAGAGCAACAAAGATGATTAGAGGACTGGAGGTTAAAACATATAATGAACAATTGAGGGAATGAGGTATGTCTATCTAACAAAGAGAATGACTTGGGGTGACATGATAGCAGTTTTCCAATATTTGAGGGGCTGCCACAAAGTAGATGGGGTCCACCTATTCTCCAAAGTGCCTGAAAGCAGGAGAAGAAGCAACGGATGGAAACTAATTAAGGAGAGAACCAACCTAGAACTAAGGAGAAATTTCCTGACAATGAGAACAATTAACCAGTAGAACAACTCACCTCCAGAAGTTGTGGGTGCTCCATCACAAGGAGGTGTTTAAGAAGAGATTGGACAACCAATCTAGAAGAAGACTAGAAGACCTCCAAAGTCCCTTCTAACTCTTGTTATTCTGTTATTCTATTCTGTTATTCTGGATCACCTGAAGGTGGAACAAGAAGCAAAGGATGGAAACTAATCAAGGAGAGAACCAACCTAGAACTTAACTAGCGAAACGTCTTCGAAGAAAATCAAGAAAGTCTAGTTGCCTCGTGAAAAAGCACCTTTGTGACTAGAACTACGTAGAAATTTCCTGACAGTGGGAACAATCAACCAGTGGAACGGCTTGCCACCAGAAGTTGTGGGTGCTCCGTCACTGGAGGTTTTTACGAAGAGATTGGACTGCCATTTGTCTAAAATAGTACCTGGTTGAGCAGCAGTTTGGACTAGAAGACCTCCAAGGTCCCTTCCAACTCTGTTATTCTACTAAGGCTTGATGATGACCAGATGAAGACCCTGATCTGATATATGTACCCATCTCTGTTTGAAGATCTCAAGCTGTGTTTAAATATGACTTTGAATCCACTTTCATTTTCTTCCTTGGGATAGTAAAATGCCCTGCAATACTCTCTTTGAGTTCATCCATAAGCAGATAATGACCTCATTGTGATCCGAGCTCTGTGGTCTTTTTAGAGAGAGAGAGAGAAAAAAAACAACATCAACCTTCCCTTCCAGGTACTTGCTTATTTGTGCGGATCACATTTCACCCGCAATTATGTACGGCCACATCTCCATTTGTATGAACTCGCAGGGTGTAATTAAGCGATGTTGTTGTCCGCCAGGATGGCCTGCTCCAAATTCAACTCGTCAGAAGCCATTTGGGTTAATCCTTTTAGACAGTCGCTATTTAGAAAAAAATCAAGGGTTCCTAAGGCAGCCATTATGGCATTTAGCTTTTTAGAAAGTCACATTGAAGGAAAATAGGTTGGCTAATGAGAGGAGGTGAGTCAGAGAGCCTGTGGAAACGTTTGTGAAATGGTGAAGCAACTCTAGGTGACCTTGGGACAGGCCCTCTCTCAGCCCTCAGAACATTTAAGAACCCATTTCTTAAAAATATTGTCAAGGAAATGAGAAGGGTAGTCCCCAGGATTCAAAACTGACTTGGAGGCATACATTGGAATGGAATTCTGGACACTGCTAAGGTTTTATAAAGGGGTACTATAACGTACAACTTTATAAAACTTTACTAAGATTACCCCTGGAGTACTGCAGAGAAGAGCAAGTAAGATGATTAAGGGCCTGCAGACAAAAACATGTGAAGAACGGTTGCAGGAACTGGGGATGTCTAGTTTAATGAAAAGAAGGACTAGGGGTGACATGATAGCAGTCTTCCAGTATTTGAGGGGCTGCCACAGTTGGGGCCAACTTATTTTCCAAAGCACCTGAAAGCAGGACAAGAAACAGTGGATGGAAACTAATCAAGGAGAGAAGCAACTTGGAATTAAGGAGAAACTTCCTAACAGTGAGGACAATCAGTGGAACAGCTGGCCTTCAGAAGTTGTGGGTGCTCCATCACTGGAGGTTTTTAAGAAAAGACTGGACGGCCACTTGTCTGAAATGGTGCAGGGTCTCCCACTTCAGAGGGGGTTGGGTCTAGAAGACCTCCAAGGTCCCATCCAGCTCTATTCTGATTGATTGACTATGTGGTCATCAACCAAGGAGAAATTTTGTCGCTCACTGGTGAAATGAAGGGTCCTTGGTGCTCTCTGAGCTTGGTGGTTTTCTTGCAGAAGTTTTCATTATCCAAACTAGATAGCATCATCAGTGGTAGCAACGGAGGGAAACTCATCAAGGAGAGAAGCAACCTAGAACTAAGGAGAAACTTCCTGACAGTTAGAACAATTAACCAGTGGAACAACCTGCCTCCAGAAGTGGTGAATGCGCCAACACTGGAAGTTTTGAAGAAGAGACTGGACAGCCATTTGTCTGAAATGGTATAGGGTTTCCTGCCTGAGCAGGGGGTTGGACTAGATGACCTCCAAGGTCCCTTCCAACTTTATTATTATTATTATTAATAATAATACAGTGTGATGTGTTTGGTCCAAAGAAACCTTCAGGGTTGTATTTTTTAATTCAAAATTCCAGTTCTCATCCCAGATAGCAAGCTACCTTCCCCTCTGCATCCTACACATGTGTTTTTATTCAAGCTGTGAGACAAGGAAAAATTTCCTCAGAGCCTCTGAGCAGCAAAATGTGTTTGAACTACACAAGCTTGGGCTTGTAGTTGGAAATTCTGATTTCTGCCTTGTGTATCTTTACATTTCCTAAATTACCACTCCGGAGTCAGTGGTTTCCACTGACAATAGAGTACATTTACCAAAGCAACCACACGTTATGTCATGGAAGGATGGAAAAAAAGAGATATGTTCATATTCACCCGAGCAATTGTCGAATACCAGTTTATTCAGGACTGTTAGCAATGAATTGATTTGTGCGCATTTTTTTTTAAGCTGTTGCCTTACTAGTAACACAGTCCTGGTCACTGGAACTCTTGGGAATGTCTTTCTGACAAACAGGTTTAAGGACATGATTGGGAAGAAGAAAACCAGGTTTTGAGGATATCCATTATAGAAGTATCTATTTCCTAGCTCAGGGGTAGGCAACTTTGGCTCTTTTATGACTGGTGGACTTCAACTCCCAGAATTCCTGAGCCAGCATGGCTCAGCATGGAAACCTCTCCCTTTCTCCTCAGCGTAGCTGGCTCAGGAATTCTGGGAGTTGAAGTCCACAAGTCATAAAAGAGCCAAGGTTGCCTACCTCTGGTCTAGGCCTAGGCCGTTTTATGACTCGTGGACTTCAACTCCCAGAATTCCTGAGCCAGCATGGCTCAGCATGGCAACCTCTCCCTTTCCCCTCAGCGTGGCTGGCTCAGGAATTCTGGGAGTTGAAGTCCACGAGTCATAAAAGAGCCAAGGTTGCCTACCCCTGCCCTAGCTTAAGAATAACAACTGTGTCTATGGAGATTCTCAATCATCCAGGTCGTGGTTGTCCCAAAAGTGCTTTTCAAAAGGCAACTGGACTGACAACAACAATCAGACTTGATGGGCTCCATATGACTTTGGGGGTCCCCAGGCCCGTTGGCAGAACCATGTCTTCAGGGCCTTGTGAAAGAGGGTCAAAGTGGGGACCAGTCTAATCTCCACGAGGGTGATGTTCCACAGTGAGGAAGCCACCATAGAGAGGACCCTTCTTCTTTGTCCCGCCTTAACATTCTCTGCCTCCCCGGTCAGGTGAGTCAGGTAGATATGACTGGGAAAAATACGCTCCTTCAAAGGGTGATGAAGCTCTCCAGCCTCCTTTTCTGCTGGTCAGGTAGATCTGACTAGGAAAAGGTGTCCTTCAAAGGGCGATGAAGCTCTCCGACCTCCTTTTTTGTGGGTCAGGTAGATCTGACTAGGAAAAGATGTCCTTCAAAGAGTGATGAAGCTCTCCGACCACCTTTTTTGTGGGTCAGGGAGATATGACTGGGAAAAGATGTCCTTCAACGGGGTGATGTCCTTCAAAGGGTGATGAAGCTCTCTGACCATCTATTTTGTGGGCCAGGTAGATGACTAGGAAAAGATGTCCTTCAAAGAGTGATGAAGCTCTCTGACCACCTATTTTGTGGGTCAGGTAGATGACTAGGAAAAGATGTCCTTCAAAGGGTGATGAAGCTCTCTGACCACCTATATTGTGGGTCAGGTAGATATGACTAGAAAAAGGTGTCCTTCAAAGAGTGATGAAGCTCTCTGACCTCATTTTTTGTGGGTCAGGTAGATACGACTAGGAAAAGATGTCCTTCAAAGGGTGATGAAGCTCTCTGACTTCCTTTTTTGTGGGTCAGGTAGATACGACTGGGAAAAGATGTCCTTCAAAGAGTGATGAAGCTCTCCGACCACCTTTTTTGTGGGTCAGGTAGATACGACTGGGAAAAGATGTCCTTCAAAGGTGACGAAGGTCTCTAACCTCCTCTTTTGTGAGGCAGGTAGCTACAACTAGGAAAAGATGCCCTTCAAAGGGTGATGAAGCTCTCCGACCACCTTTTTTGTGGGTCAGGTAGATACGACTAGGAAAAGATGTCCTTCAAGGGGGTGATGTCCTTCAAAGGGTGATGAAGCTCTCTGACCACCTTTTTTGTGGGTCAGGTAGATACAACTAGGAAAAGATGTCCTTCAAAGGGTGATGAAGCTCTCCGGCCTTCTCTTTTGTGGGTCAGGGAGATATGACTGGGGAAAGATGTCCTTCAAAGGGGTGATGTCCTTCAAAGGGTGATGAAGCTCTCCAACCTGCTCTTTTGTGGGTCAGGGAGATACGACTAGGAAAAGATGCCCTTCAAAGGGTGATGAAGCTCTCCGACCTCCTCTTTTGTCCCTATAGGGTGAGACTTGCCCTATACTTGGGCACTGATATTTTCAGCCATCAGCTATTGGATTTCTGAATTGCCCCCATGTTCTTTTCCTTCTAGCTTTCAAAGACATTGCAGGAGAAAGGCTGGCGAGTGGGAGACCTCTTCCAGGCAGTTCTGAAATATTGCGAAGCCATGGAGAAGTCTGCCGATGGGGACGGAGCCCCGGAAAGCAAAACACTCTTTGTGTGGCTTCGGGAGCGTGTCTGAATGGCCGGGAAAGTTTCTGCTCGCTTCAATGCTGGAATCCATCTTGGAAAAATGAAAAAAAAAAAAAAAGAGAGAGAGAGAATGTGTGCTAACTAGCCAACGTAACGTAATTTGCATTGCGAGGAGCATTAAGCTGGAAGTAAATATTAACCGTACTGTACTGTCAAGTGGCTTTGTGAAACTTGGTGTGCTTTTTATCCTTGTGTGTAGGATCAGAATGAGTGTCTCCGCCTGGTCTGCCCTCGTCCGTCGGCAGCCCTGCCCTGTCCAGTTCGTTGCGGCCATGAGGAGATTTTTGCTTTCTATATTCGAAGGAGGATTCCTGCCCAACTAGGGCAAGGAATGACATATCATCTCAGTCTAGTTTCATGTATTTGTCTCTGTCGTTTGTCTGTTGTGCCCTTTTTCCTTGCTTTTTTCCCCTTGAAACAAATGGCAGGTCGAAAATTAGCGTTCAGTGGGTCCAGCTACTGCCTTTTTCTGTGAGGGTCTTGTGGCCTACAGATTTGATCACTCATTTCTTTGCTGCTTCTACCGACTTCAACCCAGTTCTGCTGATGAGGCTGAAGGGAGGACCAAATTACCTCAGAATTGGGGTAAAAGTAGAGGTCAGGGTCAAAATGTAGACTGTATTACTTGCACCATGAGACCGTAATTCTCAATATTGGGAATATATTACTGTCTTCAACCACTCTTCCTTTGGGAAGGAAGAATACTTGGTTTTTATTGGTGCAGATAATAAAATCTACACTTTGATTAAAAATATTATACGGGTGAAGAACATACGTCTACAATCCATGTTCTCGAGTACAACCGTCATTCTCAAATTGAGAACATTGTATCGGAGCACATGGATTGTAGATTTGTGCTCCTCATCACTATAATATTTTAATACTTCCTTTAGATACCAAAATATTATAGTCCCTCCTGATTACATTTTTCTTCCATTCTGTAAGACACTATCTTCATAAAAGAAATAGCTGCAGAAAAGAGGACCAGAGTAGGCCAGTAGCTAAAAAACTTGAGTCCGTCAATCATTGTTGTTTTTGGTTTATAAGATGATGTCAGAAAACATATTTAATGTTGTGTCGTCAAAACATTGTCCCAGAACCAATGTTGTAGCTTTATAGGTCTTTTTTCTGTTCTTTATGCAACTGCCTTCGGTTAAATTGGGAACACAGCAGGTAAGATAATGTTGGCAGAAGATAATGTTTCTCAACCTTGGCCAGTTGAAGATGCGTGGACTTCAACTTCCAGAATTGAGGTTGAAGTCCACCCATCTTCAAGTGACTTAAGGTTGAGAAACGCTGGCCTAAGACATATCAGCATTGCATAATCATTTCGGAGAAACGCACACACATCCAGGAGATTCCTCCATTTTGTGATGTGGATCAAGTTGGGACTAATTTGTACTGGAGGGAGTAAAGAGGAAGCTATGTCTTCCTGAGACCATATCACTGCATCGTTCATGGAGGGGAGACCACCATTTCAAGCTGGGGAACACTGCTGTAGGGTTACTGGTGCTCTCTAGAAAACAGGAAATGTCTCCATTTGCTTCTAGTAAGGGTAAAAAAGAGGATGGGATGGAATGGAAGACCTTGCCTTGACCAACTTGCCATGGTCAACTCATCACAGCCAACTCGCCATGATCAATTCGCCTTTCTAACTCACCATGGCCAACTCATCACAGCCTATTGACCTTGGCCAACTTGCTGTGGTCAACTCCCCACAGTCAACTCACCATGGCCAACTCGTCAAGAGATAACCCGCTGCAGGACAAGTCAACAATTCAATTATTTAAAAGAATTTTAAAAAGAATTTTTAAGTTTTGTCATTCACATGTTACTTTATCCCTACTTGGGCACCCTTTCTTTAATGATTCTATTCCACTATTTCTTCGATATGAGTGTAACTCTTGTCCCGTGGATAGCCATGGCGAGTTGGCTGCAGCGAGTTGTCGTAGACCCACCAGAGGATGCTGAAAGGAAGCAGAAGCCTGTGAGCTACATCAATATTAAACCTCTCTAGTCAACGGAGACGAAGTGAGTAGCAGGTAGAAGGTGCCTGCTGAGAAGATTAAGGAGATCTTCCAGGATTCATAATTGAGGTTGGTGTTGCAAAGGAGGCATCCATACAGATCCCAGAGGCAGAAAGAGGTTGAACGATGTGCCCCATTCAAGCCTTAACAGCAGGCTGGAAAGTTAACGTTTGAAGTTGTGGGACCGTTGTGTATTGTGGTCAATACACCTGGGATGGCTTGGTTCTGCTTTTCTTAACGTGACTAGTACAGAATGTGGAATTTACCTGCCCTTCCAGGAATATCAAAATACGTCTCTGAATGCTGTTCTTGCGTTGTTTGCTGTACACGTTTCAGATTTCCTTTGTAGAGAGCGCGGTCTTGTTTAGAAATTGTATAATATTCTGAATTGCGCTTAGGTGGTGTGTTTGTGTGCACGGGCGCACATGTAAGTATAATGAATGAAAGCCCAAGTGAAGATTTTTCCACCACTCTTAACGGTGACGGTGGTTAGAAAATGAACGCCGTTAGATAACGAGATGTGAATTTCAAGTTGCACTAAAGTTGTTGTTTTAACAGTACCTTAAAATAAATTGTATATAAGCAGACTTTGGTGTGGTTTAAAATTTGTCTCTTCAAAGAAGGCAAGCCTCAGAATAATTTGAGAAGACAGCAGATGCAAGTCAATGAAATGTAAGTATTAAATTTAAGTTATTTCCATAATGTTACTTAAAAGTATTGGCCCAGGGCAGTATTATGAATTCTTGCTCTTAAGTAGTCTTGTGACCGTGCCATACAAAATTTAAAAATTCCAAATATTTAGTTTGTCTGCCTGTGTGTGTGTGCATGTGCCTCTCTCTGTGTGTATTATCTGTCTGTCTGTCTGTTTGTCTATCATCTGTCTGTCTCTGCCTATCAATTATCTATCTATCTATCTATCTATCTATCTATCTATCTATCTATCTATCTATCTATCTATCTATCTATCTATCTATCTATCTATCTTGTATCATTTCTCTGTCATCTGTCTATATTATCTACCTATCTCTTTCTCTCATCTAATCTCTCATCTATCCATCTGTCATCTTTCTATCATCTGTCTGTCTGTCTGACTATCTAGCTATCTAGCTAGATAGTCAGACAGTCTCTGCCTATTAGATAGATTGTCTGTCTGTCTTCTATCTATCTATCTATCTATCTATCTATCTATCTATCTATCTATCTATCTATCTATCTATCTATCTATCTTGTATCATTTCTCTATCATCTGTCTATCTCTATTATCTACCTATCTCTTTCTCTCAATTAATCTCTATCATCTATCCATCTGTCATCTTTCTATCATCTGCAAATTACAACAACTAAGAGCAAAACTATCTTGAACATATCCAAGGTAAGATTAAAACCACTAAAAGTGGAACTAGAAGTACCAAGAAATATTCTAATTTGCTAAGGGCAAATGCTGTTGCAATGGTAAAAACGTAAACTACTAACAGGCAAAAGAAAGCAATAAAAGGATCTCAAAAAACTAATTTTAGATACTGTTCTCTAGAGGATCAGGGATCGCTTCCCACATGTCAGAAAATTTCCCAGGTATCTAGACAAGATCCTTTTCTGATCAATTCTTAATTTTAGGATCCAAGGCAGCTTTCCAAAACAAATTCTTTGAAAAGACAGATTTTAGAATTAGGATCCTGACTAACGTTTTATTCATATAAGGGGAAAATATATTAATGAGCCTGTAAACTGCTTTTCTATGCATTTCTAAGGTTTTATATCCCACATGAATATTGTTGAGTTCCTTCCCAGCCTTTGCGTAAAGACCTGGCTGGCCCCACTTCTAAAAGTCTTCAGCAAATGAAGATGTGTTTGCTCAACACAAGATCAATAATCAAGTGTCTATTTCTGGATTCAGATCAAGGACACTTGTCTTAATAAGCACGAAGCACAGTAACTGCTTTGCTGGATCTCAGCCCAGCACGGTAGAATTCAACCTCCTGTTTTTGAAAGTCAGCCAGATGCTCTAGAGAAGGTTAAAAACAGACACTCTTTCATCCCAAGTTATCTGGCAGGCTAGTCAGAAAAAACTTCTTTTTCAGAGCCCAGAATTTTTTCCCAATACTCTTGACAGAGGGCAGGCGTAGTATAAAGAAAAGTTAGAAAAATTTACATGTTAATGAATGAATGCAATGTGAAATTGTATTTGGAAATGATTTTTGCTGGAATTCTTGTAGATGGAGTACAAAACAGTAACATATACTCTCTTTTTTTTTTTTTTTGCACCACCTGAATCTTGTCAGGTTGAAAATAATGGTGATTTGCATTTTTAGGTTTTACAGACCAATGCCTGTGTAAAATCAACATAGAAGATTTTTAGAGTCAGTTGGAATAATAAGATGGGCAGCATATAAATTTAATAAGTGAATGGATAGGTGGATGATAGATAGATAGATAGATAGATAGATAGATAGATAGATAGATAGATAGATAGATAGATAGATAGATAGATAATCTGATAGGCAGAGAGAATAGGTAGGTAGGTAGGTAGGTAGGTAGGTAGATGATAGATAGATAGATAGATAGATAGATAGATAGATAGATAGATAGATAGATAGATAGATAGATAGATAGATAGATAGATAGATAGATAGATAGATAGATAGATGGGTGAGTGGGTGGATGGATGGATGAATGGATGGATGGATGGATGGATGGATGGATAAATATTGATAGATAATGTGGATGGATGGATGGATAGATGATAGATAGATGATAGACAGATAGAATATAGATGGGTGAGTGGGTGGATGGATGGATGGATAAATATTGATAGATAATGTGGATAGATAGATAGATAGATAGATAGATAGATAGATAGATAGATGATAGATAGATAGATGATAGATAGATAGATGATAGATAGATAGATAGATAGATAGATAGATAGATAGATAGATAGATGTAGGTAGGTAGGTAGGTAGGTAGGTGGATGGATGGATGGATGGATGG